CCTTCTCCGGCCTCCAATCCTTCCAACTGCCATTATTTCTTCCACCCTGAAACCTGCAGCTCTGAAAAATTGAACGCGTTATGTAAAAACTAATAATTTCACCCGCTCCGCCCAAGAGGGAGGAGTCTGCACCTGTTACGTGCCATTATTTTTCCTATTTTGCGCCCACATCTCTACCAGAATTGAACGCCTCAGTTCCAAATTCCAAATAACATTCTCGCGCAAGTCCACATTGCACGTGAGATTCCTGCCACCAGTGGGCAGAGTCTTCACAAACCACCTGCCATTAGTTTTCCAATCTTGCCAGTGCACCTCTACCAAATTTGAACACTCCGAGTCCCAATTGACAATTTATGCGCAAGCCCCTCCCAGTGAGCGGAGTCTGCACATGTAACTAATATCAGTGTTCTCGAATTGCCGTGTGCATCTTCACGAAATTCGAGCGCTCCAGGTCCAAATTAACAGTTTTGCACAAGCCCCGCCCCCAGTGGGCGGAACCTAAACATGCTACGAGTCATTAGTTTTCCTATTTTGCCGCCTGCACCTCTGCCAAATTTGAACACTGTAGGCCAAGGCGTACAGGAGATATAGATTTCCGATGAGCCACGCTAAGCCCGTGGGCCGTAGTGGGCCGAGCCTAGCTTGAGTCACGTGTTCCCAAGGAGGTCGGCTCATTCCCCACTTATTCCAACCTGGCCTAGCTGTTCCACTTCGCTTTCCAGATCGCACCATATAAAGTGGCTACAAACAGACAGAAATACAAATAGACAAACAAGTAGGCGGACATTTTTTGTTTATATGTAGTGAGGATTACGTCTTTCTCTACGACAAGGAGTAAGAGGACCCGCTTCTTGAAATTAGCAACGACTATAAACACTTTGAATGGCAGTACGTCTATCATTGGAACCACATTGATACACTTCGTTTTTCCTGTACACAGAAAAAGTGATAGGATTATGGACTCACTTGTTATAAAGCAAGATATCCGGAATCCAGATCTGGTCCGACGGTATGTGCAACTTTTTTATGCCACCCCATCGAGTTGGTTCCCACGCTAACTTATAGTCGAACCACTGCATCTCTAACCATAAGTTGGTGGTTAGAACTTGATTCACCTCATCCTAAATAGTTCATGATGATTTTATTCGAAACATATGTATGTATATATATATACTTATTTATTTATTTATTGAAATTGCGCAGCAGTGCTAGTTTAATGGGTAGCATCGGTGCGGTAAGGAAGCTTCCCAAAGAGGTTTTAAGTGTTTCGATGTAGATCGTCTAATTGAGGAATCAAGCTTTTTGCAAAAATCGATCCCATTTTAGGGATGCGCTCCCAAATTCGACTTCCATTCAGGATCATTAGGAGGTTGAGTGCGCATATATGCGATATATGCAATGACTTATAGTGGCCTGCCTATGTACAATTCAGTTCTTACATTATCCCAGACAAGCCTGGTACCAATTACCCGATGGCGCAGGGATGGAAGGTTTTGCTGACCCGAGTCTATACGTATCAGGGATTCGATAATTGGACCATCCCGACTGGATGAGGTGATATTGCGTCACTTGCCACTGCATCACCTCCACCCATGTAATTAGCCTTATAGAATTGTAAACCAGTACTACTATCACATCACTATTATCTTCTGCCTCTTGCAACATAAAACATCTTGATTATGCCCTAGCATTGAAAACGACAGTAAATCACGATACTTACGCATATGTCTTTTACCACTACATCACGTATCTAATTCCACCTCCCCCGGAAACTGTTGAAAGCACTGAGGAGGGGCAGTCCCATGACCGAGCGCCACTTACGCGTACTCAAATTTTTGATTCCTCTATTTACTGGGTGAACCTATCAATAAATGCCATCCTGTGAGTGTACCTGTTAAAAGTCCACAGTCGAAGGTCTATGCTCTATGTCCCATTAGAGCCTGTTGCTGCAATTTCGACTACATCAGGTTTTTATGTACTAAGCGAAGTATTCTCTCATAAAGCCTTCTTGATGTGATCGCAACAATCCATTCAGTGAAACCACGAGAAAGTGCGAAAGAAACTGGGTCAACCCGTAAGTTTCAGTCAAATGCGCACATGTCCGCCCCGTATAAAAGATGGGAACACAATGAAGTGTGTGTGTACGAACTATTTCTGGTCAATAAATAAGTTTCGAGAAACGGTTTTCGCGTTCCATTAGGGGCAACGGACTCGTAAAAAGAAGTGCCAGATCCTTCAGTCAATCATCGTGCTCTTCTTCTACATCGTTCATACTAACATCCTCCTTTGCCTCTATCAAATAAACTGTCAAGAGGCAGAAATGCAGTAATAGTTGTGCGCGCTCACTACTTGCTGATCATTTACCCACATCTCCCATTTACCCATTTACCCACAGACCGGATGCTCCTGTTTTTGTAATAATTTACCGTTTTGAAATTTTTTGCTTGTGCAGTTTCAGAATGAGCTCTACATATATTACACTTTGTATTGCAATTCAGTGTGCTTTTCTACTTTTCTCAAAATCGGCTACATGATCATTTTCAAAAAGGCAATCTATCAAGTCAAGATAGGACAAAAAGAAGAAGATATAGAATCAAAACCCACATTCATTTTCATTTTTTTAGTCGGTGGGGGGGGGGGGCTGGGGAGACTTTCTGATATTGTGCTCTTGGCAACGATAGGTTCTAGCTCACAGCATACATCGGCCAGAACTGAGAAGGCTCCCCCTACCAATCTTTCGTGTGCTGATGAATGAATTTCACTTGATGGTTGGCCTGGATCCCAAGCATTTTTCAACGTTTCACTAGCCAATAAGCTTTGAAATGTGAAATTGCGCGCTATTCCCAATAAAATTTTTAAAGGAGAGCAAGGACGTAGGAAGATCAGAGTAACCTTTACGAGGGTCCCCTTGGAAGGGTCAAGCCAGTCTCAAGACTATTTAGAAGTCGTTAACGGCTAGAGTGGGTTGATAGGATGGATATTGCTACCGAAGACCCACGGTAAGCGGTAGCGGTTTCGCGGCAGTTACCGTATCTCTCCTTTGAAAGTTGTACATAATTTTCAACTTCTAGTGCGCCACTACGCACGATCGGGTGCGGCGAACGCGGCATACATTTGGGGTAGAAGTTCCCACTCTCAACCTAATATGGGATGTAGGACGGCCCGACCGCAGCCAGAAAGCCATGATATAAGGGAATCTATTCTTCATTGGTGCTGGCTTTATTCGTGGCATGATGTTTCGCTCCATTGGAACGTACCCATGATTTTGCAAACAAAAAAACTTATAGCGTTCTAGCTGGAAGCTGATCATGTTTGTTTCCAAGTTTGTTCTTCTTTGAAGCTCGGTATTTATTTTTCAACACATACTCAACTAGAAATCTGCCGAACACCATTATTTTTACAACATTTTGCNCATTGGTGCTGACTTTATTCGTGGCATGATGTTTCGCTCCATTGGAACGTACCCATGATTTTGCAAACAAAAAATCTTATAGCGTTCTAGCTGGAAGCTGATCATGTTTATTTCCAAGTTTGTTCTTCTTTGAAGCTCGGTATTTATTTTTCAACACATACTCAACTAGAAATCTGCCGAACACCATTATTTTTACAACATTTTGCGTCTCGCAAATAATTCGCTATCGTTAATTATCGTCATTATTTTCACACCCATTAAGAAAACAATTTTAGTATGAAGAGTTGGAGCTTCTATAAAGTTATCGCTGCCGGATCCATAACCATATCTGTTGTATCTGTGCTGATTCTTGCCGTCATTATGCCCTCTTTGCTAAGGAAGTCCTTCAATGAAGTATCCAACATTGAAATGAAGGCAAAGAAGTACAAGGTTATCTTTGACAATAATCAACGTTGCTTAAGATAGACCTGAAGAGTTAGCCTTCAGGAAGACACAACTCGAATATGGAGGGAGCTTCAGCTTTTCCTGTATGTGGGAAGGAATAGCAATGATCCAACATTTTTTTCAAGAACGAAAAGGGCACCCTGGTCAGAGGCTCGAATAGAGGGGTGTATAGGTGAGGTTATTCACCTTATGTAGAAGTAATTGCATTCTAGTATTGGCAAGAAGAGCACTATTCAATGATTCATGTTTTGCAAGGCTGATTTCAGGCTGTAACCCTTTGTCGTGCCCTCAGGGATTGCCTGGTGCACCTGGAAAATCCGGCGAAGACGGTCTTCCTGGGCTACCAGGTAACCCTGGATCAGCTGGCAACGATGGCTACGACGTTGAGCTGGCACCTGAAGACGATCTACCATGTACAATTTGTCCGAGTGGTCCACCTGGACCAAGGTAAGGGTATGCTTCGTCTTGGTACTGCAGCTTGTTGAATAGTTCACTTTCAGGGGACCACAAGGTGAAAGAGGCATGCCCGGATTTCCAGGAATTCGTGGAGAAAGCGGTAGCCCAGGAAAACCTGGAGTGGATGGTCCAATGGGTATGGAAGGATTCCCAGGCTCTCCCGGATCGGATGGCCCAATGGGAAACGTTGGTGAACCTGGAGATACGGTGATAGCTGGCATCGGAATCAAGGGTCCCACTGGACCCCCTGGGCCACAAGGAATGAAGGGGAAACCGGGGCCTAATGGGAAAGCTGCGAAGGAGATGGGATCAGCGGGAACCCCTGGAGAATCAGGCTCAAGCGGTCCCCCGGGGGAAATTGGAATACCTGGAGACGAAGGACCATATGGACCACCAGGAGATCCAGGTGATGCTTCTTTTCGTTAGTTATAGGAAAATACACATGCATTCATAGTGATTACAAGATCAAAGTGCTTTTTAAGGTATGCCTGCATCTTACTGCCCTTCGGATTGTGGCGTATCTCAAGTTCTCGCACCTCCTCTTCACATGAGGAAGGAATACAATTACGTGGACGGCTATAGAGTAAAATTAGTCAAATAGATATTAGATGTCAACATGATTCTCAATAGCACTCAATGAATTTTGTCATGTGACCTGCCATATGTATGGAATCTGTCATCTTCAGAGAGAGCTTATCGGCCTGGCGTAAATAAACTTGCTCTTCGAAAGATTATAACACGGCTAAAATGGTTGACGAGATATCCCACCAGGATGAATTTGTGGCCCCAAGTACGTCACATGTTGCGCTGTCAACTCGAAAAACGGCCCAGATAGGTCTTAATAAGGGTTTGAAGACTGTACCCAATGTATGCCACATTAACAAGGAAAGGATACTTGGTTAAAGTGTCAATTCAAGATGAGTTGTACAGAACGTTGGTGTTTTGAACGCTGATCTCAAATCTGCTGAAGGATTCTGGGAACAAAGTCACACACAAGAGTGTCCCNGCACCCCCCCCCCCCCCCCTCCCTCTCCTTCTCACGCTCCCCTCTCACCCCCGATATAACGCTGTGCAATGGTGACGCAACTGGTACAGAGATGAATCCATATGCATGGCATAAGGGCATGGTTGAAAGCCTCATTCCGCTTTTACACGAAATGTGTCCTAAACGCTTACAGGACCTTTTCATACTTTCTAATGGCTATCTATGACCCCCTTCCGCCTCACCTCACATTCAAGGAGCTCGAGTAATGGAAGCCCAATAAGAACCTTTTTCGCCACCACTGACAGAATAGATGCGCTTTCCTACCCCGAACACCTAAAAAGGTGTTACGGAATGCCGGCAATTCCGTGCACTTTCGCCAGAGACCAGTCGAATGCCCTATCTGACTAGAACCTATTTGGGAGGGGACACTGTCTTCTCTCTCGAGGAACTCGGTCCCTAGTTTCAAAATGCTAATAATACAAGTGAACTAAAATATCTGAAAAAATAAACAATAGAAGATGGACACAACAACAATAGTATAGCAGTAGGTGATAAATTAACGTACACAAATGATCATTTGATAATTGTCAAGAACTCTTTTTGAGGTGGCATGGTGCAGTGGGATATGATACCAGAGTCGTTGAGATACTCACACTCAGTTCACTATAATGAGCAAAACTGAAGTTCCGTAAAGTAACTCATCTGTGCGACCACTTGGTGTCACGCCTCATCGAAGGGAGATAGAGCTCTCAAGTTATCAAACCGTTCTGTGCAAAATAAAACAGCACCGATTTTTGCACACAAAATAAGGTTCTGGGACTTCATGCATTATCAGTTTTTGCAACAAACCTGATTATGAAGTTGAGGTTATATAATGACCAAGAAAGGTTGAAACCACGAAAAAAGAGTTCGGAAAATTGGTGCAAATTCACTAGAAAATAAGCATTTGAAAATACCCACCACGTCTATGATACGGATAAGTGAGGCTCCGAATTTCACTTTGATACTTTCACTGGCATTCTTTACCGGTCGCACATTTTTATTATAATAGTAAAGGAGATCTTCATAGAGTTGTTCAGCATAGCGATTCGATTCCACTATGTATATAACGATTGTAACTGGAATAGAAATAGAAACTGCATAGATAACTGCTCGAACTGATATATACCTCAAAATCTCAACTTATGAAATAAAATAAAGCATTTGTCAATATAATAATTAAGGCATTCATCCGGCGCGGCACAGTTTCCAGAGGGGAAAAGGACTTCGGGAAGGGATCTATTTCGAAGAGATCTCGATGAAAATGAGACCTTTTTTGGTCTTCTAATTGCCACAGTGCAAGAGTCATTCGTGGTGCAAGTGTCACAGTATTACAAAGGTGCTTATTTCATGCGAAAGGTTCGGTGTTAGATGTGGAATCAAATGAGCAACAAAAAAACAAATAAAGCTAAGAACTATTTGATATTATATTTAGAACAACCGATCTTTTTTTTAGGGGACAACTCCAGTTTTCAGGCAAAACCTCGATCCTTATTTCCCCCATCTTTGCTTGCCTTCTCCGAGGGAACCTCTTCTATGGCAGCCCCATTCACCTTGTTCGTTAACAAAATCGTCTTTCATAGAACCTCAGGAAAAGATACCTACCAACAATAATTCCGAACGCACGCATAGGCTTTCGGTGAAATTAAATTACTGACCATAAAAATACCAATATTTTTTCGCTGAAAAAAATTATCGCATTGTCTATACTTCATTTGAGAGTAATTTATTTCGTAAATAGTCCAAAACCTTAAGGAAGCCAATTGGTGGGGCAAGCAGAACAAGAGAGTTGTATTGATTGGCAACAACAATCGGTTTGAGGAGAAGAATGATTTTTNCTACATTTTTCAATGAATATCAAGGGGATGGTTGTAAAAGTACAACGGAGAGAGGTAAAGAAGAAAAGCAAGCCCATCTTAATATTTTACGGCATATTTTAAATAATAACTGATACGAGGCGGGCGAACATCTATTGAGAAAACGCAAAGCAAGAGGAAAGATGCACCGAATTCAAAAGGCTGATGTTCCCATGGTCCATACTACATACTTTATAGTCAGTAAATGGTCAAAGTACAAATTCATGGTGAAAGTACAGGGTGAGCATAACTTATAGAGAAAGGAACATTTTAAGACAAATTGTGAGTATATCTAATATTCAATGGTGATCGATTGAATGGGGCCGCTAATCGATGGAGTGAGGCACTTGGCTGTTTGTTCGGATTTTCCGAAGTTTTACACACTCCCATACTGACACATGTTCCGCCGTATGTAAAGTGACGGCACTTGCTGACGAGAAACTAATTCAAGAAATCCCTAGGAGCCGATTAAGCCGTGTGGACATTGCCTCGGAATGGACTTCTCACAAAGCTTAGGCGCAAATGAAATCAGTGAATAGTCGAGCAAAGAATTCGAGAATTCGCCGGAGACTAATGAAAAACAAGTGCTCGAATGTGTGATTTGTTACGTTCACTGCCGCTAAAATACTGTACACTATTGGGTGATTTTTTGAAGAGCCTAGAAATTCCAGCTTCCCATTCGACTTGTTTTCCGACCTCCCCCTACATTGAAGGATCTCCTAACATCATCCCGAATCTACGAGAGACGGTGCCGCGAACAGTCTTGTCGATACTGCACTTCAGAGAAGATCTGTGAACTCCAGGGCACTGTTTATTTGATTCAATGTGGAGGATGTGGAGAAAAGTACGTGGGGGAG